ATTTTGGCGCTAGAAGGAGGGCCCTCGAATGTCGAGGGATCCTCAGACTGATCCCGACGAACTCCCTGCCGAGGGATCGTTCTTAGTAGGAGCGCAGGCCGTGCGTCCCCTGCGTGACGGGCCGTGGGCTGACGACCTCCCCGCGACCTCTGAACGCTACTGGCGTTCATTCGACAACCCGGATCTGCTTCCGCCCGAGGGCGCTCCGAGCGTCCCCTCGCCGGTGTCATCCGAGGCCTTTCACGACCTCGCTCGTCAAGTCCGAGCTCTGACGGATATGGTGCAAACCATCATCCCGCTCGTCTCCCAACCGACACCCCCACTTATGACTCAGCCGCTACGGCAACAAGAGCCGCCCGCTCGAGCCCACATGACGCTTCTGGAGCCTTCCACTTCTCCTCGGGTCAGACCGACCCCACTCGGGGATCCAGTAAGGACAAACCCGAGCGGCCGCCCGGAGCCCGAGGTATTATCTCCGGAGTCAACGGACTCCTTGCGAGCCCAACTATGCTTTCTTAGTCAGCGGCTCGACGAACTAGAGGAGTTTCGCAACTCAGAGGGAGAGCTCGGGATGGACACACACCGAGGATCTCCGTTCGCACCAGAGATACGAGATCACGCCGTTCCCCCGAACTTCCAGCTCCCTTCTTTGGACGCATACGACGGCTCCACTGACCCGGCGGACCATGTCGCCGCTTTCCGTGCCCATTCGGCACTGTACGGAACGTCTGACGCTTTAATGTGCAGGGCGTTTCCCACGACCCTGAGGGGTCCGGCCCGCACATGGTATAGCGGCCTGAAGATCGGAACGATCACTTCCTTCGGGCAACTCGCCAAGGACTTCGAGCTCCACTTCGCAACCCATGCCCAACCGAAGCCCTCCGCGACACTGCTCCTCGGATTCAAACAAAGAGAGGACGAGCCCCTCTCACATTTCGTGGATCGCTTTGCCACGCAAATCCGGAGCTTACCGGACACTCACCCCTCTCTGTTAGTGCAGGCGTTCATGGTAGGCTTGCGACCTTCCAGATTCTGCTGGTCCCTCGTAGAGCGACCCCCCACCACAGTACCAGATATGCTCCAGCGAGCCAACCGGTACGTCACGGCGGAAGCTTGGGTGACCGCAAGGAAGAGGAGTGACTCTGGGCGACAGGCCCCGTAGCAGCGGTCAAGCACCCGCGGTTGCTATCCGGTGTAATCCTCGTGCAAGGAATCTAGCCCCTTCCTCAGTCTCCTCCAAGCAAAGGCTCCATATTTACCTGATTGCCTCTTGGCTCACGGTTAGCTTCGGTCTAACCCCCCTCTTTTTTGCATTCGCACGGCTCGGTCGGAGACGCCCGAGTCCACCTCAGTGCGGCCTACTCGCCTGAGCCATGTCCCTCGGTCGCAGTCTGCCCGAGTCCACCTCAGTGCGGCTTGCCCGCCTGAGCAGTGTCCCTCGGCCGCAGCCTGCCTGCGCCGAGCTTCTCGGCCATACACTGTCGAGTTCACCTCAGCGCGGCCTGCCCGCCTGAGTTGTCTCTCTGCCCAAAGCCACCTCCTCGGCCGCATGATGCCCGAGCCCACACCTGCGCGGTCTCTCCGCCTGCGTCGTGCTACTCGGTCGCATGACCATCGCGACCACGCCTGCGCGGTCTGTCCGCCTGTGTCGTGCTACTCGGCCGCATGACCAACGCGACCACGCCTGCGCGGTCTGTCCGCCTGCGTCGTGATCCTCGGCCGCATAATGCCGGAGACCACACCTGCGCGGCTTGCCCGCCTGCGTCGTGCTCCTTGGCCCCATGTTCCCGAGACAGACCTGCGCGGCCTGCCCGCCTGCGTCGTGCTCCTTGGCTCCATGTTCCCGAGACACGCCTGCGCGGTCAGTACGCCTGCGTCGTGCCCCTTGTCCCCATGCTCCCGAGACACGCCTGCGCGGCCAAGCCCGCATGCATCGGGCTCCTCGGCCCTTCGGCTCCATGTTCCCGGAGACCCCGTCCGCGCGGCCAGCCCGTCTGAAGACAGAAGCCATGCATCGGACTCCTCTTATACAACAACCGACGCATAGCTCCTTTCGGGGGGGGGAATATGATAAGGGTAAAAATGGCAATGTAACATGCCATGACGTCAGCCATGCCTGGACAACACACTGCCCGAGGAAGTCGGCATTAACACCTAACTCAGGCTTAGTTCTTCACGCCACACCAACCCCATGTCAGACGCTATCAGCCTGCCTCCTGCAAGCAGCCACATCAGGTAACATCAAACTCATCTATAAATACCCCAGAGTTCTAAACGAGCAGGGAGAGGACAAGCACAACGCACTTGGAGGCATCTCTTCTTCCAAAACCCTCTCCACATCGCTAACTTGATCGTCGGAGGGGTCGGGCCGAGCTCCCGGCCTGACCTGTGTGCAGGTCCGAGACGGTGTCGCCTCTTCCCGGCGCTGCGGCGGAGCTTTCTCCCGACCTAACCTGCCGACCCGACCTCCCGACCCGAACCACCGTGCTCGGCCTTAGGGAGACCCCGAGGGACGGAGCCCGAGATCCCCGACATCCGGACCCCCGAACCGAGCCGTGACGGCCCCGAGGCCACGGCTTAAACAGATGCCCCTCGCATGACGTGTCATCACTCACGTGATTGGCTTGCAGGGCATCTATGACTAGCATCTTCTATACTACTATTGTTGGAGGATATCCTCTTCCAAAATTTTGTTTTGTATTATGACTACTGAACAACCTAAATATAGTTAATTTTTGCTAAATAAAAACCAATTCTTCTTTGTGAGTTTTTGTAAAGAGACTAAAGAACTTAACTTTTAATAAGACCGGTTAGTTAGTGCTAATGAACCAGAAGAAGTACATTGAATTCCACTCTTAGATGCTTTTTTTGTTGTATCTTGTGAGTTATTTTGAAGACTTTTTGTTCCTTATAAAATCCTTTTCTTTTTCACTTGATTAATCAAGAATATAGCATATTTTCTAGAATGAGGTTTCTTGAAATTCATTTGAATTTCTCCATTGTAAATTTTGAGAAGCCGATAAATATAATAGTAAATGATGGCCAGCATTATGTATATAAGCACTGATATTTCAGTAGCAAAAGAACGAATCTAAAGGGTTGATCTGTTATCTTAAAAAGATTTGTAGTTCCTAACACTGATTCACTTTAGTTGCTATATAAACAAAAAGATCAAACGTTTGGTTAAAGTTGTCTATCTACTAGATATTGAAGTTGCAGTCAATGATTAAAAAGCAGTCTGACTGGGCCAAGCCAATTGGAATTTACCAGTCTGATCAGGATCAAACTGGGAATTATGTCTTGGTTAGATTCAAAACTGGGCTTAGTGCCGAGTATCCTTACATAACGTCTTCTATGCATATATCCCTAACGTGTTTGTCTGTCCAATCTGACACCTGCTGGATTAATGTCTGGTAGTTTAACATAGCATTTGCATGTGCCTGTGCAAGTGTCACATGACCCAATGGACCATGGATAGGAAGCTTAGGATACTTTTATCTTATGGATTAAATTTAATTGATAACCTGTGGCCTCTTTAGTTGTGTACCTTAGTATTCAAGAGCTTAATGGAAGTCTTGATTGATACAGTGCTCAATATGGTGACTAATGAAGGTTGAGTCTTTTTTCTTTAGACAACAATTAGGCTAATCCTAATTTAAACAGAAGGGTTATTGAAAGTTGTTCTATATCCAGTTTATCTCTCTGTATTAAGCATGTGCCACAACATGTCATGTCTTTGGCTCGATTCATCATCGTGTATACTTGTCTATTATTGTATATTTTTCTCCAGTAGAATTGGTATTATATTGTATTGAAGAATTTACTCGACTTGATTAGTGCTTATTAGATAAATATCTTTGTGATAGAAAGCAGTTTGGTTTTAGTTTTACAAGATAACATGGTCTTGATTGCTAATTATTTTTTAGATTTGAAATTTGACCAAATTACTTGTACTGCTTTTGCAGGTTTCCTTGTTGCATTTGGCTGACATTACTGAGCAGGGCGTGACATTTCAGGTAAGAATTGAAATTCATTTAATAAATCATATTATTGATTTTTGTGATGCATTGTTTATCCAGATAGCGATTACTGTTCCAGCATAAGAATATTGTAATGATTAATGCATCACAGAAATTGTAATTATTAAGCATATAAAAATTGTAAGTTATTATGAAAAATGCATAAAAAAGTGACGCAGTGGTACTGGTTGTGCACTCAAATCTTTATTAAAGAGTTGGACAGGCTTCTTTTGTTGCTCTGTTTCTACAGTTTTAAGACATATGGGCCCGTTTTGTATGTTTATCTCATAGGTATTGCCTATAATCCCTAGGTTTCTAGCCAAACACCTCTAACTCCTGCCTAAGAAGTTCCATCAGAATATTTTACCCTCAAATTGATTTAAATTCTGAAACTCTGTTGGTGTGAGGGTTTGATAGAGTTTTTAGCTGAACACCTCTAATTCCTGCCTAAGAAGTTCCATCGCCAGAATATCTTAACCCCAAATCAATTTGAATTCTGAAACTGTCTGGTGTGGGGATTTGATTTGAGCCAAAAACTCAATATTTCACCCTCTTAGTCTCAGGATTTTAATCCTAAAGGTGCCTATGCATGCTTAGAATTCCACTATTGAACACAATTCAATCCTTGTTTGTAACTTGAAAAAACTCCTACTTGGAACTTTTACAGAAATCTCATAATTTCAAATTCCTGTACCAGATGGGCTTTAGTAAATATATAATCATTGTTATAAATATTAACATAGTTATTTTTTTTATCTTTTTTTTTTCAACTGCTTTATATTTCTCTTTGAAATCACATGGTTTTCCATTGCTTCTCTATGTCAGTCTCCTGTTGACGGAAAGCCTATGCTTCTAACACCTGAAGAGTCGATACAAATACAAGTAGGTAAACCTTAGCATGTAGCTAAACTTTTGTTTTGTGCTTTAGTCCTACAAGTGGCATCACTTTTAATATCTATATTCCATTTTTTCTTATTTGATTGTTTGCACTGACAGGCTTATCAATGATCTTATACAAATTGAATACCCCCTACTGTCCTTTTGATAGAGTATAAATGTTGTAACTTGTAACCCAAGTTTTATTTAATTAATTCCATTTGATTGATAACTTAATTCAGCAACTGGGTGGCATTTATGGGTGTCACTTTGGGATTGTTGGGCTGGAGTGGTAAACAATTGTTCCAGCAATTTGTGCACATTTTATAGTTAACCCAACCTTGGATCAAGTTCTGAGTTTTAGGTTATAGTTTTCCTTGAATTTTTGCTCCTTTTTCTTGGTTTGAAGGGTTGGTTCATTTGGATTTTATGATGCAAGCAGGTTTTAAGTCTAGCAAAGGATGATAGATATATTTTTTGTGTCCATACTTTGTTTCTTTTGAGATAGTGGTGGTGGTGATTCACAGGTTTCTTTTGAGAGAATGTGTAACTAAACAACAAATTGTTAGGGTTACTGTTATCATTACCAAGTGTTGCTGCTCGGCATGTAAGGTTGCCAATAATGGTCGTTCAACTCTTTGGCAATCTTACAAAATGCAAGATTGATTAATCAGTTATTGTTCCCTTCATAACCTTTGCTTGTTCATGTCCATGAATACTTAATTCTTTCTACCCTATTAATTTAATGACTTCTTTATATGTGTATATGACTATATATCATATGTTATACTTTGCAAAAAAAATTGCAGAATAAGATTGGAGCTGATATTATCATGGCACTAGATGATGTTGTGAAGACAACCATTACTGGTCCGCGCATTGAAGAAGCTATGTACCGTACCCTTCGTTGGATAGATAGATGTATAGCTGGTATGCTCAACTTACAAGATGATTTATTTTTTGAATATGTTATTATGTTTGATGGGACGGATCAAAGCAATGTTCGCCGTTTGTAATGTATTGAACTAATATGTAGTGGTATTTAACAGAAGTATTAACTAACACCTAGCCCTTGCAAAATCATAGGTAACAAACACAGAAAGAATGGAGAACATCAAGATTGGCATCTACTATCACTATGTTTACGCAAAATTATGTGTAAATTTGTTGCTAATTACATAAGCTTGGTATAATTTGTAAATATACACTTGATTAGGTCTATATTATATGAAAAGTAACAGAAAATTAAATTGGAAGAAAAAAGATAGAAAATAATATAGTTCAATATTAGTAAAGTGCTTTGCAGTAAGGATATAGTGCATGCTTGATAGCTTCACAAACATTTGTTATTGTTAAATAATAACAGAAACCTAACATACAAAAATTGATGTATTAATTGCTTTGATTTTGTTCATATAACACATGAAAGATGACAGCTAATGGTCAAACGAAGTTGGTCTATATGATCGTGATATAATAACAAAAGATAAAAAACTTGATTACATCCACAGCAAGTGTAATAAGAGGCAGTAAGATCATAAATTGTAATTTGTTTGAAGGGATTTATTGAAAGAATGAGGGTATAAGTTAGCATAAGATCATAAATCACATCAACATGATAAGTTAGCATAAATGCAGAAATCTTTAGCTAAATAGAATGAGGGTATAAGCAAACATGCAATTCCCATCCATTTTTCATTTAAAAGCCTATTTCCATTTATTGCAAACATGCAGGAGGCAGTATAGTTGTTTTTTAAATGAACCTTTTAGCGAGATTAATTGCACAACAATTATTGAATAAACCCTGTTCAGAACATCACTAGTGCAAGGTATGTACTAGAATTTGTATGATGTTTAAAGGTAAAATTCACCATACTTTCACAAAAAGAAAGAAAAAGAATAAACTATAGGAGAAGAGTGAGCAAGCAATTTACTTGCTCTTATTGTTGAAATGTTCTAGCTTTAGATCTCTGCTTTATTATAAACATCTAAAACCATTGAATGCAATCTTGGGTACTGGACCCATACTGGTCATTGACTGCACCAGTGTCGGTACGGTCCATGCTGGCAATGCGACACATGGAATCCTGGCATGTACCACAATACTGTTTGATTTGGGAGGGTGGGAAGGAAAAGGGAAGAAGAAAGGAGAAGGAAGAAGGAAGGGAGAAAGGAGGAGGAGAAGTACTACTAGAGAAGAGGCGGGTGGATGGGTGGCGGCAGATGATGAGAGGGTGACATGGAGAGGGAGATGGCTTGCAAAACACAAGCCCTAAAGGCATCAGGGCCTTCAAAGGAATAAGAGACCCATTAAAGAAAGAACAGATAAAACCAGCCCATTTCACATCCTGGTGCCAATACATATCATATATTATTGTCAATCTTTCACACTTTTAGCACTCAAACAAGACACATCAAGTTGTTTTAGAAACAAGAAACTTTTTAAACAGTTTATGTTACACTGTTATGCAAAAGACGGTATGTGAAGTCACTGCACCAAGAAAAATTTGCTTTCGCATTACTTGTTCAACTTTTTTTGAAGTACCAAATGTAGGCTTAAAGAAGTTGGAGAAACTGCATCATTCATAACTTGTAGAAGAATTTAGCCATCTATTATCGACAAATTTTTGTTCACAACACTTTTAATATGCAAACAAAATGTTGCTTTTTTGAAATATAAAACTATCATGCATGAAACAGATTATGTGAAGTCACTGCAACAAAATAATGCTTTTGTATTATTTTGTAATCATTAATTTCATTATAACATTTCTTTTTTCACTAGAGCACACCATCGGTTCAATCATAGGTCAGTTGGTACTTCCCAATCAAATGGTATCTTTGGTTGGACAATGGTCATACTACATTCAGCAAATCATAGGATTTGTGTAACTATCATCACATTGTATGTACTCGTAGCTGACTTGCAATATTATCTGTTGAAGATACTAATTCTTTGGTTGCTGTACTGGTTCTCCTGAATTCCTCGTGTTTATTCTTTGACTGGGACACAAAGCTTGTCTTTTTATTAAACAAAATAGTGAAGAGCAGGAGACTTTAAGATTTTAATGATCATACATATTGTTGATCTCAGTATATCATAAATAAGTTACACAAATTGATGATCTCTTATGTATTTCTCATGTATATTTTGCTATACGTATTCATGTATTCGTGCATTTGGACCAAGTAAACTTATTTTTGGTTAAAAGCATAACACAAGTTTTTGTGATAATTCTTTTTTTAATAGTAAATTTGTTATTTTTTTACTGTGATATGCTGGGTACATTTAACAACAGCTCATAAGAGACCTGATGCACAGAACTTATTTGGAATTGTTCAAGGAGGATTAGATCCAGTTCTGAGGTGAGCTGTATAGTGCATTTGAAAGATGGCATGCAACCAAATTTAATGTATGTCCTTTTTGTATCTTGTAGAGTTAAATCAATACTAATAAGCTTGTATTTCCAGAGATATATGTGTCAGAGGTTTGGTGGATCGCAATTTACCAGGGTAGGCTGAACATCATCCATGTTAAGTTCTTGCTGATTGTTATTACTGTGTTTAATCTTTAAATTAACTTAAGATAACCCCAAATAGCTGCAACATGAATTGTTGTGTTTCACTAATTTGAATCAGGACAGTCTTGTTAGCTAGAGATGTGGAAATTTGAAACTCTTTACATATACCATAGTTCTGAAAGTTTGAAACAACAGAGTTCATTTTTTTCCATGCCTTGCTTCTTAAGTTGTTATGACTTGACTATTTTTTTGCTTTATAACTAATTTACTATACTTGTTCACTCTTTAATTGAAAGTTTCTGGATCATTGTGAAAATTTGGAGAAGTTGAAATTCTTAGAATGCTCCATCTTCAGATCATCTCCTTGGATTCTTCTCAATGTGTAGTCTTAAATTTATGTGGGTCTCAATTGAGGCAATCATTCACTTAAGAGGAATTCTCACTTCAAACACTTTTTTTTGTGGTATTTCAGTTTGTATCTTGCTTTATTAAAATTTACCTAGATTTCCCAACCTAATCACAATTTAGCATTTTAATGCTAGCTACTAACATAGAGAGCTCAGCCCAAGGTTTAGTACTGGTCTGATACCAAATTCCATGACTTGTTGGATCAGTATGACAGGCAATACACTGACCCATACCATCCAGGATCAAATAATAAAAAATTATAACTGGGCAGTATGTGTACTGCTATCAAGCTATAAATTTTGAAACTGGTACTTAACTGGACTGATCAGTACCTCACAGGTACAAATCAGTGCAATTGGCATTTAAAATTTTGGTTTAGCTAACCTTTGGATTTAGCAAATATTTAACTTGGTAAACCTTTAGCAATTTAGCCAATATATAATAAACCTTGGTTTATAACATATCTTTCAAGAAGCCTTAAAACTAACTTTAAGCCACTGAATCAATTTTAATATTTTACTTGTGTCATGCAAGAAAACTTTATGGTTCTTGAATGCTATAGCATCAATACATGTGGTCTGTGCCCTAGTTAGGATGTGCTATCATAGATATTGCCTATTGCCCAGTATGACCAATTTATCATAATTGTCAATCCATAGAACTAACTAGAAAGAGACACGGTTTAGCTCTCAAATCGGTTTGTAGTTTGGTTGAAGCACAAATTTTGTTGCAAAGCTTGCAAGAGAGGAGAGAACAAGCTTTTCGAGAGTGAGAGGTGCAGTGTGACAAAGTTTCCTAAGAAAGAAATAATATTGTAATGAAAGGGGAAAGGATAGTGTATTGGGGTAGTTTTAGACTTTTAGGTATATGACCTGACACTTGAACTTGTCAAGAGTTTGAGTTTGGTTGTGTTTTTCAAACTTAGGTTTTTCCGAGTTTCTAGAAACAAACCCAAGCATGTCCAAGTTCAGTCTCAGAAAATACAACAATCCCATGTTAGTAAAGATTTTGGTGTTGGATATCTGGGCCTTTTGTCGTACATACCTGGCTTGAAATTGGTTCATTCTTCTATTTATCATACAACAACCTATATTTCTATATGTAGAAGATTAGCCATTTGACAACAAACAGCTAATCTTGCTTCCTACTGTGACAGCTATGCTATTGGTGGTCTTGCAGGCGGTGAAGATAAAGATTCTTTTTGGCGTGTTGTTGCACAGTGCACTGCTGCATTACCAGAAGATAAACCCCGATATGTGATGGTATAGCTTTTAAATCAAATTTTCTCACTTTCAATAAAGATCAGCTTTGTGCATATGGGTTCGTGGATGAATTCTTAAACACAAGGTTCAATGAAACTGAAATATAGATTGTTGATATGAACTGTTTGGAGTGATCTTTAGCTTCTAGAACGAACAAGACTGGCAAATTCTGGAAGCTCCTTTTATAGTCACCAAATCATCATAAATTTGAAGGCTATATAATGATACCAAACATGTTGAAGATTAAGATGCTTATATCATGATCAGTATTCCGGGTATTTTGTCATATATTTAAATAATTAGTTTGAAGCACCACACTTTTTTCAGTGACTTGATGCCTAAGGTGTTTTCAGTTGGTGAAATCTGGAATTTTGGAGGATATAGATCAATATGTACAGTTAATCACCAATTTAGATGCCCATTTATTGGATCTCATATTTGATGATCTAAGTTGGATCCATCCCCCCCCACACACATGAAACATAGATTACGTGTATGGACATCTCTTTCTCCATACTTGATAAGAATACCTCTGCGTGCTCAATTTGTACAGTTAATCACCAATTTAGATGTCCATTTATTGGATCTCGTATTTGATGATCTAAATTGGATCCATCCCCCCACATACACATGAAACATAGATTACGTGTATGGACATCTCTATCTACATACTTGATAAGAGTACCTCTGCAGGCTCAAATATATTAAGATCTGTAATTTTTTTTTTGTATTTGCATATGTTTGATATGTGTCTGTATGCATTTCGATTAGTTAAGATCTGTATGCTTATATATTTTACTCCTCGGCATGAAAATAATTCACAGGGTGTTGGCTATCCACTTGATATTGTAGTTTGCAGTGCTTTAGGTGCAGACATGTATGACTGTGTTTATCCTACACGAACTGCTCGTTTTGGCACAGCTCTTGTTCCTGAGGTTAGCCTGCTAAATTTTTTTACAATTCATGTAAATATTGGTTATTATCTCACAAGCATGCCAAAAATCTCGTACACTAGAATTTTTTTAATATTATGTTCTAAAATTGCTCTAAGATTCAAAGATCAGATAAATAGAGTAGAAGCTGGGAACAAGGTTTTCAATTTTAGTTACCGAATCAGAGCTGTTCCATGGCCAGTCCGGTATGAGTCTGGTCCATTTCAGTGTATCGACCTATGATATGCCAGAACATACCATGGTTTCAGTCTACTGGGGGTAGGATGAAGGAAGAGAAAGAAGAAGAGAAAGAAGAGGAGAGGAGATGTATCGGAAACAAGGTGGATGGCTGAAGGCAACTGTCGGATGTGCAGGCAGCTAGCACGTGGGCAATAGAGAGAAGATGCTCGTGAGGAGCCACGAACCCTAGAGCATCAGGCGAGGGGTCATTTAAAAGAAAAGAAAACAATGCTTAAACAAAAAACTAGACCGGAACGTCCGAAATAGGACGGTCTGCATACTAGTTCATGCATGGACCAGTAGACACCCGTCGGTATGGACTGGTCTATGCAAAATTGATTTCCTTAGAAAGGACCAAACATATAGGAATTAGGAAATTTCATTCAAGACATCGGGCATTGCTCACTTTGTTCAGGGTACTGATTTTTTGTCTGTTGTTCTCCATTTGCCATATTCATTTGTTTAAGTCGTATATTCTACCACATGAATCTGAATGAAACAACAATGCATGCATAGTTCCATTGACACAAATCTAAATATCTGGACTAAGAATTCCTAAAGAGCAAGCCGTGGTGCCATGGAAAGGTTGCTTTGTAACTTCGGTGACCAGGATTTTGCTCATGAAATCAATCTCACTGTTTGTAGTGACAAGGTTTCTTGCATTGGCCTTCTCTAAATTTCCACATTGGCAGGAGCATCCTGAAAATGTGCTGCCTTTTCTTATTTAGAGGGTAGGATGGGTAAATAAATACACACTATAGTGTGATGTATTGTACATTGATCAACTGAATTGGAAAGGTATGTGGATGAACTGTGGCATCTAGTCAAATGAAGCTATCCTTTAGTCCAAGCTCATTGTGTGTTCCATTTGTAATTGTTGCGATCATACTTTTCTGCCACTGTCAATGTAGTTTTGTGTTTCCTTGCTATCTCAGAAGCCAAAATATATGGATTAGCTCTGGTCAGATGATCCAGTTACCATGTTGTCAAAAAATCTTTAACCAGGAGCATGTTCATCTAGATCACTTTGGCAATTATTTTTTATGTATCTCAGTGTGATATTTTGCAAATTGCAATATTCCATCATCTTTTACTTTTGTCTTATGAAGGAGCTGATTGTGCTTTTGTTTCTTCCTTATGCAGGGCGTCTTGAGGTTGAAAAACCAAGCCATGGCCAACGATGAACGACCTATTGATTCAACATGTACATGCATGGTAAGGCTCCATCTGACCTTCCTTGATGAATAATGTCAAAAACTATTACACTGTGGAATTGACCAGATACTGTTCTTTGCAGGTCTGTAGAAATTATACACGAGCTTACTTACATTGTCTTGTCACAAAAGATGCAATGGGCTCCCAGCTAGTGTCCTATCATAATTTGTCATATATGATGAGGGTAAAGACACTGCTTGTCTCGAAGCTGAGATATGTTTCTGATCATATATAAATATATCATTGCATGTGACAAGATTACAATGTTTATGTGCATGTACTTCTTTGACATCAGTTTCCTGCAACTAATATCTGGTAATATGCTCCTCCTGCAGCTTAGTAAGGATCTTCACACATCATTAGTGGAGGGCCAATTTCCAGAGTATGTTGTAATTCTTTTTCCCAATGGAGTGTCATATATATTTACATAAAACAGCATTGTAATTTAATTGTCTTTTTTTTTATACTCGCTTCTTCAGGTTTGTACGAGGTTTTTTACGTGCACAGGTCTGTTCTTTTTCCTACTTCCACTATGAAACATACTCCATCAACCCTCTTTTTTTCCTTGTCTTGTGGTGTTTAAATTCCTCATTAAACTTCTCTCAATCAAAAGGCAATGACAAAAAAATTATGAATCATGCGTAATATCTACGATCTTGCTTTAGGCGGTTTGGTACTAACTTGCTTCTTTTTTTGTGTTTTACAGTTTCCGAAAGGTAATGTCCCAGAGTGGGTATGCAATGCAATGGAGGTTGCAGGTGTTGACATCTCTACCTGCTGTGCTCCCATAACTTCATGACATGATTAGCCAAAAGTATAATACAAGGCCCGACTGATGAGATTAGTTTCTTACACAGATTAGACATTCATTAATCTCCATTATTTCTCTCACACCAAGATTCTTTAGGCTGCAGCATCAGTTTTGTATAAGTATGCTGCTCGAGTAGGAAAACAAAAGCACAACCAGGAAGTTGTGTGCATATTGTTGCAGGGGCCATCGATAGCCCAACGCTTGGCATCGTTGCTAAGTCAAAATCAACTTTATATTGTAACACCTGTGAGAAATTAATCTATGGTTTTGTTGGTTCCCAGATTCTGAGTTTGTGTTTCTTTTGGATCCAAGAGAAGGTGATATTTGATTTCAGTATTTTGCATATTGATAAAGAGAGAACCTTACCAGTTAGTTAAAATTACCTTCACTGTGCTTCTTTCTCTAAGAACATAAATTCATTTAGAGCAGCAAAGATAGATAATCCAAGGGAGAAATTTCTGTTGCACCTTTGCAAATGTCACAAGACATACTTTATCGTAGTAATAATACAAATGTCATATATGCACACCTCTCAATCATTAAAAACTACATTTTTACGCACTCGTAGACCAATTGCTAGCTTTGACAAGGACTAATTTATATTTACAAAATAAGACAATACTGATTGATAAGACAATCCGTCGCAACCAAAAGTCTTCGTGTAAGAACCCATATGATATTACGATACACCAAAAATGTTCTACAAAGGATGATTCCATCCCAAACGATGAATCCGTAGCATACTAATACCGGAAAACAATATGTTATGAATAACAATCAATGACAAAATGCTCTAACATATTGCTAAACATAATATGGCAAAAAATAATAAGGAACACAAAACGCTATGTTATATCAATCTCGTTTGTTCGTTTACTTTCGATGAAATTACTGAGCTGACCATTGAATTCATATCCATATATGTGCCCCATCTTCTCTCTTTTGGTCTCCAAATATCTTTTGTTCTCTTTAGTAATTGGAGTTAGCAAGGGAACCCTCCCAGAGATGCTGAATCCATAGCCACTGAGCCCACCATACTTAGCAGGATTGTTTGTCATCAGTATCATTGTTCGAACACCTAGGTCTCGTAATATCTGTAGAAAGGAATGAATTTTTGAAAAGCACTAGTTGAAAGCCATTGAACAAGAGATCAATTGATAGTAAGTCCGCATGGAAATCAATGTGAGAGCTCAACAATAGATCGGCGTCAACATAATCAGGTCTCAGGGAAACATCCATTTCAAATGTATATGGTTCTACCACAAAACTGCTATAGAGATTTACAGAACAACTAGAATGAATGAACACAAAACATTAGGTTTTAGTCATACAGCTAAAACTAACATCATTGTATAGGTAAAAGATAAGGAATGCCCGAGGGCACTGGATATTAGTAAGCAAATCAGGTGTATGCAATACTTCAAAAAAGAAAAAAAAAAAAAGGCAAAAGACATGGTATATAGTTGACACTAAAAGTTTAAAGGGACTCATAAATTCAAGCGACAAAGACACATCTTTTTTAGTGTAAGAAAATATAAATGCAAGGAATCCACATGCCGGCCATGCTGTCACGAGACAGATACAGCACTATTATGGTATGAGAGAATCCAACGGAGATGTGCCAGCTGGCACATTGCCCATGCAAATCAGCAGAACTCCCCCATGCTGATTTGCACCACCATATATGTGGCAAAGTGAAAAATACTATAACAATACTGATGAGATAGTGAAATTGCTCGACATAGAGATATGAAACTATAACAATCAAGAGGTTGAATAGATTTCAAAAGTGTAGAACAAGTCCTTATGTGGTAACTTAGTAATCTAGAGGGCATAAAATGAAACTACTACGTTTTCACGATAAAAAAGCTTAGCCTATTTTCTGTCTTACCAGTGCACCAATGCCATATTCCCGTGAATCTACAGGCAAATGTAACTCCTCATTGGCTTCCACAGTGTCACGCCCATCATCCTGCAAGTTGTATGCACGAAGCTTGTGACCAAGGCCAATGCCCCTTCCTTCATGCCCACGAAGGTATACCAGCACACCTCTGCCAGCTTTTTCAATCATTGCCATGGCCAGTTCAAGCTGATTGCCACAGTCACATCTAGCTGATCCAAATATGTCACCAGTAAGGCACTCAGAATGTACCCTTACAAGGATATCTTGGCCATCTCCAATATCTCCCTGTTTAAATTGAAAATCTAGTGCTTACATGTCAATTAATATAGGAAATATTAGTAAGTTTGCACAAGCAGCTAAACATGAGCACTATAATGATAAGAGGATGACAGTTCAGTGTTATTTGGACTTAAAGGTTCAGCTCCGAATGTATTCCATTCTGATGTTTCACAAAGCAGCAATAAGAACAAATATAACTGGTGCTAAGATTATATTATTAAGGATGCTTACTTTCACCATAGCAATATGCTCCATTCCATCAAGTAGAGATCGATAGCAATAGGCCTGAACAGAGCCCCACTTCAAGGGTAAACGTGCAACAGAAGCACGTTCGACCAACTTGTCTCTTTTCCTCCTATATCTGTCATATTATCCCATGGTCAGAACACTAAAATTTATCACAGGTTTTAATTAAAAGAAAAAAAGATGACAAACTGAAAAAGGGGTGTTGAAGCACCTACATTCATGGCACGTAGATCATCAACAGTTAATATGAATCCAGCATGACAACGTATGTCCAATTATTGTTCCTAATACTCCACTCGGTATAAGTCAAAAAAGAGTTTTATTGACTAAAGTATACAATATTTTTCAGTTATAAAGATGGAGGGTTCCAACATCAAATGAAATATATCTGTAGGAGTTATGATCATTCTTGAGTAATCAAGAATGAGATTCCAACTTCTAATGTTAATCCATTTCGCCTCCAACAATAAGGCAACCTCTTCTACCTATAGGTAGTTTTAGAGAAGTTTCTTTTGCAGTGGATACCTGAATTCCAAGTATGGCTCGTAATAATCTATCCTCTGGAGCATACGACGATTCGTTTGCTATATGAGGCATTAATTTACCTACTAAAACATCAGTTGTTTCTTCCCGAGATCCCAGCCTCACAACTCCATTGATGTGTGTCATGCCAAACAGCACTAGAACATGACACACATCAAAAGCAGCTGTTTACTCAGCAAATGACCTAGCATTTACTAAGATGGAACGGCAGAATATATATTATTTAGTGAATAAATAGCAAGACAGGGCAAGAAGCATTTTAGTCTTCAATATAATCCATTAAAATGCAATTAAAAAAACAGCTGATGCTAGAGATATTATTTAACAGAAGAATTTCCAATAAATGCTCAAAGCTGTTTTCTGATACTTCTTATGGAAAGTATTCCTAACTAAAAATACTTTGAAATTTTAGATTAAAGAAAACATCAGCTAGAGACATGTAAAGATCATACATGTTTATGCTGCTCAATGGACAACTACTTTGGTAACCAGGGTTTGCTTCCATGCACGTTAGGCCATGATAGCTCATAATAGGTAGCATGGATCAGTAACATTTTGCCTGCACGGTGTCTGTTCATTACCAACATGGACCTAAGATGCAATGCATTAATCTTTATTATTGCTATGTTCCAGCAAAGTTCAACGCCAATGGTGATAATGATGACATCTTGCAAGTGACAAAAAGATAGTGTACCTAATCAAATCTGCAATTGAGATTATCTTTAAATTCTCTTTCTTTGCAAATTCACGTAGCTTTGGTAACCGAGCCATGGAACCATCTTCATCAACGATCTCACACAGAACTCCAACAGGGGGTAACTCAGCCAGCATAGCCAGATCAACTGATGCTTCTGTATGCCCAGCTCTTCTTAGGACACCACCCTCCCTGTATTTCAATGGAAAAATATGGCCAGGACGATTAAAGTCTTCAGGATTTGAATCAGCTGATGCAAGCATCTTAACCGTCTTTGCCCTATCTCTAGCAGAGACACCAGTGGTTGTACCTTCTTTAGCATCCTAAAAATAACAAGTTCCACCAGAATGTAAAATTGTAACAAACCGAAGCATGATAATGAATAATTGGAACTTATAACTCAAGAATCAATTATTATAAGCAAATCAAAAGTAGTTGTCTGCAGGCATTAGCATCTTTAAAGGTGAATATAACCTACTCACCAACCCCAGATTAAGAAACTTAAATCAGACACTTTTACCTACACAACCCTTGTTAATGGAGATCGTACAACCAATTGCTTGACAGAGTAGAAAAAGACACCTCGGAATCATTAAATAAAACTAGAAGACAACTAGACAGATGCATTGATTATGCAACCAGAGAGTTAAAAGAGAGAGATAATAGAATAGTTGAAACTTCAAAAGCCATGAAATGTGTTTCCCAAGATGTAAAAGGAGAGGAAGATCTGACTCCTTAAATTGAATATAAAAGTCAGAGGCAGTCTATAATCATTCCTGTCATCAGTTCTAAAAGGATACTAACATTGAAGGTAATGATTATACAAAAGGATGTCACTGTAGCAGGCTTAAGTGAATAATTAGTTTCTATGAGTACCTGCATTTCATCCTTATTAATGAAAAGCACCATCAACCATCAAATGAAAAAAATAACATACCACTGAGACAGTGAATGCAGTGCACAACTTCTCCTCATTTTCTTTATTTGAAACCATAAGAGGAAGCTCTAATCTCTCGAGGTCTTCTGTTTTCATGCTCACACATACAATTCCAGTCCCATGCTTGACTATAAAAGCCATGGCCTCTGGTGTTACCAAGGGTGCAGCCATTATAAGATCTCCTTCATTTTCTCTGCTTTCATCATCGACAACAGTCACAAACTGCAAAAAGAAACAAACATAAGCCATAAATCATAAGGAGAACAAATAGCTGGAGCCAAATTGAAAGAAAACAATATATTTGATCAACAATATGATCATAAAGACAAACCTTGCCTTGACGGATGTCCTCGATGGCCTCTGAAATAGGGGAGAACCCTTCAGTAGGACAATCTAAATCAAGTTCACCATTTCCAATTGAAAATTCATCAACAGCTGGAGTCATATCAGAAGCAATTGTTCCATGGGCAACTGCATCTCCTCGAAGCATGGCATTAGCAGTTAAACAACCCTGTTCAATAATGGTACTTTGTCCTGGCAGCATGTTTCCCTCACTAGATCTTTGTACAGCTGCATTTAAAGCAAAGCATGCAGCTTTCCTGAAACCATTTGAAGTCCTTTGATTTACTGCAAATTCACTATAGTAAAACCCTCTAAACTCTTTGAAAGAGCTGGATCCTCTTGAAATACAATGCACCCTGTTTATGGTGAGGACAAGAAAATAATGAATCAGCGAACCACTGGGGACAATTTCTCACAGTTTTGCTTCATGAGTTCTATCAAAAAAGTTCTGAGTCCATGCATGCATTTAAAAAAGAAAAAACAATAACAAGATAAGAATTCAAATGACCCTTTGTTTTCCGGTACCAATGGGCTTAACTGATTTGGCGCTTAGACTGTATATGCTACAAGCTACCTTATTTTTGCCATTTTCTCATGCTTGTTCCGCTGTTTGTTTGTATCAACGGAAATTGGCCTCAACAATGCAAGATGTATGCCTTAAAACTTCACAATGCAAGAATATCTTGGATGACATAATAAATTAAGCTTCTAATAGGTCACAAAAATACAGAAATCATTACACATAACTAAATATAGTCAAAAAATTTCATACACAACCCTCCACAAGTTCAAAAAAGGATATTAACATGGGATTTCTTGCTAATTCACAAGATTCTTGAATTAAATGCAATAATAAACATAAAAAGAGAAAATGTGAGAGGGAGACGGAGAGAGACGGGAGCAGATCTTACCGTGGACGAAAGAAGACAAGGAAAGAACAAGAAGAAGAAGCGACAGAAGCCATTCCCGAGCGTCACCTCGTTTGACCAGCGGCTCCCTAAAGCGTTTGTCCCGTTCCTCCTCCTGCAAAACCAAATCTAAACGTTCAGCTCCACAATCCGTTCAATATCTTTCAAACATCCATCAAACCTCAGAACCAAAACCGCCAAAAATCAAAGACCTAACCATCTTGGACGCTTCCAAATACATCAATCACAAGAATCCCTACCAAGTACACCTCGCCTCTCTGGCTCAATCGCAGAACCGGCGGCGAGGCGGTGGCGATCGAGAACCCACGGCTCGTAAGAGAGGGCGGCAACTTTCACGGGGTTCGAAAATGGCAAGAGTTCATAACCTATATATATAGTCCGTCCATACGGCCCACGCGTTCCCTCTACCTAATATATTATTACCTATCACAGCTCATAGAGGTTGCATCAGTGGGCCCCGCGAACCTTTCCTGGCTTAACAACACGGTGAGTTCGACCACGTTTGTGAGGGTCACCTTATCTGATGGTGGGCCCGACCCATAAGACCGATATTGCGGCAACGTATATGATATGTACGATGTGGTAGCAATCCACCACAGTGTGATTCGGATCATGATCTTTTGCAGTTATCGCCGGATCATGATCTGCACTAAAATAAAAGGTTCCATTTCCACGCGATAGGTTTTTTTATTTCTTAAATAAATTATTAAGTTTTCAAAATAATAATAATAATAATAACTGTCAAGCCATAAAGAATATGTAAAAAATAATTATAAATTACATATGAGAAAGGCAAAAAAAAAATTATTTTTAAGTCAGAAATGCATTCTAGAAGTCTTCTACTACCAGAATATCTGCTAATAATGATAGAATGAATTCATAGAAATATTTTTTTATTTTTTGAATTCATAAAAAAAAAAACCAAAAGATAGAAATCTTCTGTGGGCAATTAAAATAAAAGAATAAAAAAATAAAGCTTAGTTATGAGTGCAGATTGCAGTGGCTGGTGAACAATCTGCCCACACCATAGTGTTCCTGAATCTGGTCAGATCCTGACGAAAACAACAATATTATATTCATACAACTCTCTTATTCATCATGTCTTTGACAAGAATGAATGCTAATGACCCTTAATTTGGTTATTGCCATGGTGATAATGAGTCACATGGTCTTCCCTAGTTGGTGATTTTGAGATAGCATATGGGAAAATATTGGTCCAACCACACTTGGTTGGTCACACTGCATGCACAATGTTGTCGATTTTAACTTGGTCTTTTTCTTTTCTGTTTTTGACTCCTGATGCTTATTTTACTTTATATTCCTGCCTAGCATGTCTCCGTACACTCTCTCATGCACTGTGCAGTGAATTGTCTGCTGCAAATTAAAGAAGAAAATCAAAGTAATAATGAAGAAAGTGGAGTTCTTACTGCAAGAAGTTTTTGTGTGTGTCATGAAAAATTGGTGTGGACTGTGTTCTTAAGTGCCAAAAGTTTCTAGGCTACAGAAGAACCTTATAGTTCGAGGAAAGTAACATCTTTTCCAAGGAAATTGTGCGTGTAAGAAGACATAGCTAGATGGAACTTTTCTTCCAGTTCAAGAGAGATAAGAAAGTAATATCTTTTTTTATCTTCCAGTCTATTACTGGGAACACCATTTGACATCCCCACCTTTCCTTTCTTTCCTCTCCGTTCTACTTTGCCTGGCTCTTCCTATTGTGCAGGAGTCCACTAGCTAGGTAGGGTGGTCCCATGGGGTCCATCAATAGGTGAGCAGAAAAGAGCCATGGCTTTGGACCTTGGGAGAAAGCTTTTGTGCGTGGCTCCAAAGCTCGACTGTGAATGATCGCTTGTGGGTGGCCGGTACATGTGAACTTTGGTCCCGTTGGTTGCCCACCTTGGAAAAGTATGAACATGAAAGGAGTGTGCATTACTTTCCTCTCGATTCTTCTCTTTCATGAATACGTTTCTTTTAGATTAGTTGTAGGATCTCCTGAATCGATGAATGAATTCACCGTAGCCTTTAGATGAACTTCCATAATGATCATTGATCGATGAGAATTTTGTCGAGTTCAATGTCAAGCTTCAGTAATGGAAATAAACATTAAGTGTTTTATACTATTATAGTAAGAACCGAGTATATAAGATTTAAGTTTAAAGCTACCAAGAAAACAATCGATGATCCTTTGTCATAACTACAAGTGCTTATGCAGCACTCTTCATCTTCATGAACTCAGTCATATGGTTAGCCTTGTGACACTCGAGAGTTAGTTCTAGATCAGACGTGTGAGGTCAATCAAGTTTGTTTACAGGATTATAATGGATATTTTGGAAAGATAATTAAGATTTATCAAGATAATAGGTAAATTATCTGGTGTTGATGAATTCACTTTAAGGGCATGGGGAAATTGTGAACTGGTGTGGGTCTGCTACAATATAGGAACTGCTGCATGGTAGCAGCAGTGATGAACATATTTAGATGCTGTAGAGAAAGAACATTTTGAGGGACAAACACTGTGGGTGGGTCGGGGATCAACCAGTAGATTCTAATCACGTCTCACTTGGCCAATGGAAAGCTTGAGAATAATAGGTAGACAGAGTCTGCTCCACTGGAAGTAGATCATGGAGATGCATGCGAGTGTCGAGGCACAGATGCAAACACCTTGAGATGCTGCACCTGTGGTTGCAGTTCTTGGGTTTTGATGACCACCATAAAATATTTAAATAAGTGGTATAACTATATAATTAAATGAAGCGCATGCTATGCATGAATTATAATATAACATCGTATGATATTATATGGTGGAAACTGAGCACAATGACTCATGCATAGTGTGGCCTTTAATTAGACTCCACCTATCTGATCTTGGAAGTCAACATGAATTTTTTAGTGGTCACCCTTGATACAGACACTTCACAAGATGATCCTGTCATCCAATTCCTCTCACTTCTACTTCTTCTGAAGTACAACATGTGAAATAAGTATGAGATAGAACATGTAGGAAAGCTTGCTCTAGTGATTCAACTCTCTTCAACACAATATTTGCAGAAAGAGACACGGGAAATCTCAGTCACATGCTATGATAAACTTCTTTGGCTTGGAAAAAAAAGAGAAGACATGAGCATTTAATTAGAACTTGTACTGAGGGTTGAAGCAAGCTTCTGAAATGGCTGCAATGGTTCTGATCTGATAGCTGTGCTTGTCATTAATTATTAATGTTCCTAATTAAACATCACTAAGGTAAGGAAACATAAAGATTTGATCTACTTGATCCTTCTCTAGATGTGACCAGGGCAGGTTTCTTATGTTAATTAAATGTGCATGGATCAATCCATGTCTTTTTTTTTCTTAATATGAAGACATAACTTCTTAAACGTGGAATTAGCTATTAATATTTAAAAATATTAAAGTATTATTTTTTGAAAGATTTAATTTTTTTTTATTTTGTTAAATAAATAAATAAGATAAAATTCTAAAGATAAAGACCTTTTAGTTTAAATTATTATTCTACACCTAATGATATCTATATTTATAAATTTATCTAAATCTAAGTGTTTAGACTATAAGGCTCAAAGTGAAATAGTAGTTCAACAACATTTTTTTTAGAAGTTTAAACTATTTTTTTTTTTACTTTTGTTTTAGTTTCTTCCTTTCTTATTTAGTTTCATATGGTAATACCTTGTTATTATAATTTGAGAAAGGATTGTATTTACATGTGATCTTTCTCTGATATCAAAATTACACAAGTGATAATCTGTATTTCAAGATCACTTTAATAAGAAAGATAATCTTGTTCTATTGGAGATTACAATAGTTGAGTTGGTAAATTTGGTACTGAAACTTTTTAATAAGTCTAACTTCAATATTTGAAAGACTTATTTAAAGTCTTATCTCATAGGGGAAGATATATGTGATGTAGTTGATGACAATACAATAGATGCTATAGATAGAGACATCATAAAGAAATAGAGGATATTAAATACAAAAACTGAATTTATATTAAAGAGATATATTTCTCATAATCTCTTTAAACACTGGTTGCAAATCAGGCTTAGAGATTTGAATCATTCTTGATGCCTTGATCAATAAAAAGAATATAGTTCAGTTTGATTTTTTTAGTTATTTTTTAATATTAAAAATTTATATTATTTAGTTATTTTTTAGTCTAAGGTGATCTATCAAAATTTTAGTTATTTTTTAATATTAAAAATTTATATTTAGATATATCATTCTTAAATCTAGATATACTTAATGAAATATTATATTATTCATAGTCTTCAAAAAAAATATCTTACAATTATTCAAGGATGAGTTCAATAACCACCCTTAATAAAGTTGAAATATTTTTTTGCTTCTCAGAGATGCTTAGATCATCAAGGGAGTTTTTGTTTCAAATGAGAGATGGAGATAACCTTTTTATAAATAAAAAATATAATAATAAATATAATAAAAAATAAATATATTAACAGCAAGCTAGAGTCTTCTTCGAACAATGATATAAATCGAAAGAAAAATTAAAGGTTATAGACGTGACAAGTTAGGTCACATCAAGAAAAATTATCATATTAAGATCAAAGAAGAAAATATTATAAATAAAAAAGATTATTCCAATGTTACATATAAAAATTGGGATAAATATTTTAAAACTAAAACTACCAAGGCTATGACATCTATCAATTTTAAGCATGATAAATTAGTTGATTCAGGATGTTATCATCATCTCATTAGTGATGATATCAAATTTATCAATTTTTGATAATATGAAGATAATAATATAATTATCATGCTACTAATACACACTATTCACCAAGTGGAGAAGAAAGACATCATCATAATATTAAAAATAATAATCCTATTACATTGAAGAGTGTATATTATATTCTAAATATGAAGAAAAATCTTTATAGTTAATGCTAGAGATTATGTTCTTTTTAATCCTAACGAAGTTAAGTTTCTTTACAATATTAAAGAATTAAATACAGATATAGTATATACTAGTAAAATTGTTAAAGATTTATATATATAATTAGCATCTAACCCTTATATTGATAGGATGAGTATAAATGATTATACATCAATCTAGTAGATTTGATCCTATAATTTTTTTTTAAATTAAAGATCATAATATGAAAAAGTCTAATTAATAGACTTTTCAATCTTACTAACTTTTGGTAGTAATAAAGGTTGTGAAGGTTATCAATATAGCAAAGCATATAAACAATCTTTTAATATATCACTTTCAAGGTGTAAGTTTTTCTCATAGCTTATTCATCATGCTCTAATGGGCTATGCTCAAACTCTATCTTATTGTTCTTGTTATATATATAT